GACCACTGTTTGCCTTTGGATGCGCTGGGGACCCCACCCAGGGCTGGCTAGGAAGGGAAGACGCTGGGATGAAGGGCGGGGAGAGGGAGAGCCTGGGCCCCTCGGGGACCCTGGAGGTGCGGGCCGTGTGGCGGGGCCTCTGCAGGGGGTGCCAGCTCTCTCTGCGTTCCGCCCAGCCCCCTCTATCCCGTCCTCTCTCCTGCCTCCCCGCCCCAGCTCCCCGCCGCTCTCCCCGGAGCCTCTGAAGGATCGCTGGTGCCGGATGCAGCGTCAAGACCGGCGCAGCGCTCCACAGTTGGCACCCCCGGTGGCCTGGGCAGCTCCGGGAGGGAGGAGCCGCTGTAGAAATAGGAGAAGCCAAGCCGTTCGCCAGGCTTGGGGTCTGAAAGGGAGCTCACATTTATAGTTCCTGCGGCCGTGAGCCAGGCGCTGCTGGCTCACGCTTTATCGTGCTAGTAACAGTCCCGAATTGGAAACCCTGCCTTCAGAACCAAACACGGGCGCGAGGAGGTGACTGAGCTCCGAGGCTCAGCCGGGTTTCGAACCCAGGTCTGCAGGAGTCTCAGCCAGCCGTGTGCCTTAGAGCTCCAGGGAACCTGAGCACAGTCTCCTCCCGCCCCGTGTGCAGGACGCTTGACCTTGTGAGTCTCGGGTTCCTTCCTCACCTGTAGACTCACAGGACACCGAATCTGGCTGCATGCTGATTAAATGGGGAAACAGGAGGACGTCCTTCTCCCGGAAAGTGATTGTGACAGTGAGCGTGGCGACGTCCCAGGCTTTGGATGGACAGTAAATGCGCCGAAGACAAGCTTAAGTCCTGTGTCTTCCTGAGAGATGCGCTGGGCTTTGGGCAGAGGCCAGTCCACAGCGCAGTGTAAGGAGGGCGAGGCTTAGATTTGAAGTTGTGGGGGAAGAGGGATGGATTCTGAGCCTGATTCATCTGACTTGCTGAGACATAAAACACCCCAAAGAGAGATGACAGACTTGGAAATGTTAAAGGAAGACTGACTCCGAAGTCTGTAATCCTAACCACAGAGTGACCCTACTTAGCCAGAACTGTCCGAAGCTGCACCAGAAACTGACTTTTTTTTTTTTAAGCATAAATCCGGAAAGTCGTGCTCCGGAAAGTCAGACCGTACTGAAACCGGGCCCGGCCTTGGAGAACCGCTTTTCTGGAAATCTTTTGAAAGTGAGATACATCCTGAGTCGCCTTGGAGTGCTTGGAGGGAAAAGGACACTAGTTGGTTGTTAGATTGTGGGCCAGGAAAGAGAATAGAGGCCGGCAGCCACGCTTGGTTAAGCATGACCACTAGAGGGAGCTCCAGTGCCTCCTTCAGTACCAAAGTGGCGACTCCAGTCCCGGGCAGGTGACCTAGAACACCCACACCCTCACATTCCTGAAGAATTACGTCCAGGACTTTAAGTACAGCATGCCACCTCTTCAGACTATACACAGTCACGCAAAAATCCACCCAAAAGCGTTCCAGTAAGTTGTCTTCCAAAAACATCCACAAGACTGGTACCCGGCTTCCTTTTCCTTTAGAGAGGACCAAGTTCCTCTTTCTTAGGATGATGGTGACGCTACCTACCTGCACCTGGCCTGGGGTGTTAGGTAATTCTTTGTTTTCCTGTTTCCTGTAAGTTAACGGGTTTAAAGAGGCAGGTGCTTGTTGGGTTGGTGGCATGGCTCAGTGTAAGCATGTGGTCAGGCGTTCCAACACCCGCACCAGGTAAAAACAACAACAACAACAACAACAACAACAACAAAACCAGAGAGGTCTGTGTTCTCCTGTGACCTGCGCGCAGGAGGGAATGGATCCGGTAGATCCCGGGATCTCACTGGACAGCCAGTGTAGCAGAAACAAATGTGCTCTGGGGTCTCAAGAGAGTGGGGGGGGTGGAGAGGCGGGAAGGAATATACGTCCACACTATACGTCCATACAGCACACGCACACACCCACCACCCACATGTAGCCCAGTGCGTGTGGAGGTGCTCGAACACACGCACAGTTCTGCCGCCTGTGGCAAATGTTTAAAGTCAGCTGTAATTTGAAAAGATTCTTTTCTCTTATTAAATTAGTCTAAAGATTAATGGTTTATAATTTAAATGAAACTTAAGTTCTTTATTCTGTAGAATACCAACACAACAAGACGTGCCTGTGCCTGTTTGGTCGCTTTCCCTCAGATGTAGACCTTCACTCAGCCCCTCTCAGGAAGTGATCAGCCAGCCTGCCTCCATCCTAGGCTTGAAAGCTATCTTATATTAAAGACAACAAACTAGGTTCATTCCTGTTTATGATTAAATCTGTTTCTCAAGACTGGGCTGTGCCCCACCTGTAACCTTAGCCACAAATGGTTCTGTACTGCCTGTTCCAGGAAACCCCAACCATATCTTTGTTTCAAAAAGTTGTGTATAACCATCTTTGCAACCCTACCTTTGTTTCAAAAGTTTGATATGACCACCTTGTCGCAACCACCTTCTAATTATGCCTTTGTTTCAGGAGGTCATTAGGACTTATATGCTATACTTACGTGGGGGTGGTGGTGGTGGTAGCACCCACCTTTAATCCCAGCACTTCGGAGGCCGAGGCAGGCGCATCTCTGAGTTCGAGACCAGTGCTAGTTCCAGGACAGGCTCCAAAGCTACATCAGGGAAACCCTGTCTCAAAAAAACAAACAAGCAAAAACAAAAACCGTGCAATGCTCATGTACCTCTCCTGCAACCCAGTCTATTTTGCACACCAAATCTCCCATTGGAAACCCCCACCCCTGAGCTATAAAAACTGCCTTCCTCTCTCATCCAATGCTGACCTCTTGAACCCCACCTTAGGGAACGGCAGCCCGTATACACAAAAAGTTTGCTTTAATTAATTGCTGGCCTTGATCAGTTTGCCCATAATTATTTGGGTCAGTTGGTCTTTTTCCTCGAATCTTTGGGACTAACAGAAGGTGACTAACCCAAGAGTGGTTTTGCAAGCTTCTGCAATTGTCGGCCGGGTTTGGACAGGGAAGGTACTGTTGGGAGATTGGAGGAAGAGAAAAAACAACACATTTCCCTCTCTTCTTGGTTACAGGTGGCCTCTTCACCAGGTGCATGGCATTCTCAGTATCTCGCTGTCCCTGGGTGCTGTGCACCTTCCGGTAATGGTTCATTCTCCCATCATCTGACAGTCAAAATCTGGCCCAAATTCTGTGCCTACCAATCTCTGCGTCTCTTCAGTGCCCCAGTTTGGCTCTGGGTTCCTCCACCATCTCTGTGACCAACCATGCATGGGACCATGCTGCCATTGTAGTGTCCACCCAGGGGTTTCTCCTGCAGAGACACGCATAAAACTCTTTGAAGATAACAGGAAAACCAGGCTCCAAGTCCTGCCAAAGTTACTTGTTCTCTGCGACCTTTGATGTGGACTGGACTGGGATTTCCTTTGCCCCTTCCCCTGCCCTCCCCCACCCCTGGCCGTCCCTTTCTTTTTCTTCCCTTCTTCCCCTCCCTCCGCTCTCCCTCCCTCCCTGCCTGCCTCATTTTGCTATGTTGCCCAGGCTAGCCTCACTCCTGTGCTCATGGAATCCTCCTGTCCCAACTTCCCAAGTTAGCTGGGGCTACAGCCATGTGCTTCTTTCCTCTTAGAACATTTCATATGCGGGTCACTGTCACTCAAGAGATCAGAGCTGTCACGGTAACACACCTGCATTTGTCTGCATCTTAACAGTTACTTCTAGCTGAAGAGTACTTTGTTATATGTTTTCTGCATATATGCTTATACATAAATTTTATTTAGTAAAATATACATTTTGTTTTTGTTTTTTGAGACAGGGCTTCTCTGTAGCATCAGAGCCTGTCCTGGAACTCTCTTTTGTAGACCAGGCTGGCCCCAAGTTCAGAGATCCACCTGCCTCTGCCTCTGGAGTGCTGGGAATAAAGGCGTGCGCCACCAACACCCATCTAAAATACACAATTGATTATGAATTGCTCTTTGTTTTCATTATGACCATTACAGCATTATGTAAATTGTTGGTGTGTGTGTGTGTGTGTGTGTGTGTGTGTGTGTGTGTGTGTTTACTGGGGTCTATCGTGGTTGGGAAATGTCACCTTACAGCATGCCCCTCCCTCCCAGGCAGAGTCCAGTCTAATCCTTTTGGGATTATTCCCTTCCCACGCCCCACCCCAGACGAGACAGCGTCTCACTATTACATATCCCCTGCTGGCCTGGAACTCTACATAAACCAGTTGACCTCAAATTCTCAAGAGTTCTGCCTCTACCTCTTCTGCCTCCCAAAGGCTGGGATTAAAGGTGTGTGCCACCACGCCAGGCCGAGCTTTTAAAAATATATGTCTAGAGTAATACACATATAATAATTCTCATTTTATGTAAAGGACATTTCCTAAGGGGAAAACCCCGCCCTCCGGGCTTAAGCATTGAAAACAACAGACTTTTGCCCACACAGAACTGAGCCTAGTTGGGGAGGGTGCCCCCTGGTGGTCCGAATTGGGAAAACAGCTCTCCCAGTGTGCGTACAAAAGAGAATTTCAAAGTGTCAGCCGCAGGGCCGATTAGGCCGGGATGGGAGTGGGTATCCTGTGTAATTTAGAATAGCTTCCAGGGAATCCTAAAAGGCCTCTTCTCATCGAAGGCTGAAGAGCTAACTCCCTTAGACAAGCTTCAGCATGTTTGCCAACCTTGGAATTAAAATTTTGGACTCCTTTTCTTTGGCAACGTAAGTGCTAAATTTTTTTTTAATTATATTTAAACGCTGTTCTGGGCCTCTAAGCTTGGTGCACAGAGAAAACACGTTGTTAAATAAGGAAAAGTGATGGAAACTCTCTTCCTTCCCTGGTCAGCACCATGTGGAGCTATGTTGTCAGTCTTGATTTAGAATGTTGCAATTTTCACAATAGTACAGGCTGCCTTTTGCCAGCTTTTGTTGTAATTCGCCAGTGCTTATTTCTAATTCTACAGAGTTACTAGGCCTTCAAAATGGAGACAAAGGTGTGAGGGCTGGAGATGTAGCTCATGGGTAGCATGCGTTCCAACACCAGCGGGGCGGAGGGAGCCAGGGAGAAGATACTAACAACCATCTCTCATTTATTTGTCTTAAAAGACTTATTGCAGCTGGCCACAATGACACACACCTTTAATCCCAGCACTCAGGAGGCAGAGGTTGTCTGATCTCTGAGTTTGAGGCCAGCCTGGTTTACAGAAGAGCGAGTTCCAGGACAGCCAGGGCTACACAGAGAAACCCTGGCTCAAAAAAAAAAAAAAAAAATCCCGTGTATGTTTGAGCACTGCATGGCTTTGTGGTCACCACATGCACACAGGCACATCACAGGTCACACAGCGTCAAGTCCCCTGGAACTGGAGGAGTTACAGACAGCTGTGGAGACTGAGCTGGGGTCCTCCGCAAGAGCAGTGAGTAGGCTTCCTCACCCGGCCATCCCCCTAGACCCCTGTAACTGTTTCTTCTTGCAATCTGACCAATTTTCCTGCTCATTTCTACATGTAAAACAAAGAAAGCAAAACTGGAAAAAACACATGTATAGAAAGCCCCAGAGTGGCCCGGTGTTGGTGACGCACGCCTTTAATCCCAGCACTCGGGAGGCGGATCTCTGTGAGTTCGAGACCAGCCTGGTCTACAAGAGCTAGTTCCAGGACAGCCTCCAAAGCTACAGAGAGAAACCCTGTCTCGAAAAAACAAAAACAAAAACAAAAACAAAACAAAGAGAAAGCCCCAGAGCAGATCAGTCTACGAAATCAGCTTCCTGATGAATGAGGAGATGAGACACTGTGGGGTCACATAGGAAAACACATTTTCACTATTATTTCTACATGAAATTACCGCCTGGCAAATTTTGCTAATCAAAGTTGAGGTGGTATGAGTTCTAAGTGTGGAAAAATTATCAGTCCACAAAATAACTCAGTCTTCCTGGCTGTTTGAGATGCCACCCATATAACTGAGACCTTGAACTTTAATAAGTGACACCTCTCAGATGTATGGACCTAAGGTTGAGATGAACTTGCAAGTGCTAATTACCAATCTGGGATTGATTATCCGTGGTAAGCTGTAGGTTCACTTCTGTTCATTCCTAGACAGATCAGACTGGAAGTCAGTGAGCTGGGGCAGGGGCTGCAAGTCTGATTCCACTCCTAGCACTTGGCCCAGAGGCTTGTGACCACCTATAATTTCAGCTTTGTGGGATCCAGTTCCTTCTTCTGATGCTCTTATACACATGGCACACACGAGACACATGCGTATACATAAATAAAAATAAAAAGATGATAAACACATTGCAACGGATGACTAACATAGCGAGGAACGTGACTGTGGTGGAATGTATTTATTGAGCGCTAACCACGTTTTGTGTAACTTTCCCTGTGGGGGTAGGGTGAACATTGAGCTAGAGTCTCATTGTGTACCCAGGCTGGCCTTAGGCTCGACTCCTCCTGCCTCAGCCTTCTTAGTGCTGGGATTGCAGTTTTATGTCAACATACTCAGTTTTAACTTTAAAGCTTCTTTGCATTTAAGTATCATTCCCTAGAATTTGGGAACAGAAAAGGATTTTAAGGTGTGTTTGCTGCCCTCACATGTCCCCCTGTGTTCCAGGGATCCCATATCTGGCATCTTCCAGTTAGTGCTTTGAAGCAGTTTTCCCTATGATGCAATTTATCATCCAGACTATGGGACATTTATGACTCCATAATTACAGGGATAACAGGTAAGAACCAGACCCAGCCTGGGCAGCTCAGGCTGTGTGGTCACTGTATGATTAACGCCCATTTCTCAAGGTAAGAACATCTCAAGTCAAGCTGACTCATCTTTATGTCCACCCACACTGAGAAGACATGAGCACTTTCCATTTTAACTCTTTCCAAAGGACCGGGGATAGAAGACACGAAGGAAGCCAGGTCAGTATGTCACTCACTTGTATACTCATTCTCTGGAAGGCTATTTATCAAATACCTAAGATTATGCATATTTCATATACACATTAAGAGTTGCAGGGCTGGGGGTGGGGGAGCTGGAGAGATGGCTCAGCAGTTAAGAGCACTGGCTGCTCTTCCAGAGGTCCCAGGTTCAGTTCCCAGCCCCCACATGGCAGCTCACAACTGTCTGTAACCCTAGTTCTAGGGGATCCAATACCTTCACACAAAATATATACAGGCAAGACATCAGTGTACATTAAATAAATAAATCTTTTAAAAAAGAGAGTTTGGAAAACAAAGCATGGTACCTGCCTTTGGGGGGTCTCATAAGACAGAGATGCTATGAAAAAGAGAAAAGCTGTCTGGCATCCAGAGCTTGTCACCACTGCCTTGCAGGCCTTCGTGGCCGCAGGGACCTGCCTGGTTCTTTAGAGGACCCATGTCTTCTTTAATGCAAACTATGTCAGAGTCTCAGTATGACAAAGGGCCACTCCAGGCCATGCCGGATCAAGAACTAAACGTTGTCAGCTTTGTGGGGTGAACACTGGAGGGGGTAGCCCCATCTCTCCCTACATGCCAGTATTTGTTCCATAAGGAGCTGGTTATGCAAGTAGCAAAGTTTCTGACAGGGTCCCATGTTTTTTGGAGCTCACGGCTCTCAGTGTGGTCAGGTAGTTTCTTGTTTCGAGCACAGAGTTTCCAGTGTGCTTCCTGACTACCCAGTTACAGATCCAACTCTCCTCTCCTCTAATTAGTTGGAGTCTGACTGAACTCTAGGCCTCAGGGGTCCACTGGAATGCTCACTCAGCGGTCCCATGAACACAGGGTGAAAATAAAATCACAAAGGCCAGCAGACATGAATCCTGTGTCTCACTTTGCTCAGCCATGTGCTCCATTGTCCCTCGGGATTGTACTGAGAAAAAACAAAACACAGGTTCAGAGATAAATGTGCTAAGAATTTCAAGTTCAATGTAACAGTAAATCAGTAAACTAACTCAACATATAGTGTGAACAAAGCCCCCAAAAGTTCCCGTTGGAGGCTCGGTGCGCAAATTCATGTTAATTTTTTTGGAGAAGTGGTAATTGGGATGAGATGGTGGCATGGTGACTTTATAAGAAGCCGTGGAGAGCCTAGGTAAATGCTTGCCCCGTCTCATCACAAGACGCTACCCATCCACCACGTTACAGTGCGTCAGTTGCTGGTGCCAAACAAACTTCAAATGTTCATAAGTTATCTTCTGGGTTTTGGTTTTTTGTTTGTTTGATTTTTAATTTTTAATTTTAGAAGCATTCTTATTTACATATCCATACCCCCATTCCCTCAGCCTCCCATCCTCCCATGTTCCCCACCAACCCCCCAGTCCACCCTCCACCCCCTTCCCAGGGAGACACATCATTTGGGGAGGACCCAGGCCCTCCTTGCTGTATCTGGGCTGCAATAGTGTCCCTCCATAGAGAATGGGCTCCCAAAGTCCATTTGTGCACTAGGGATAAACACTGGCTCCACTGTCAGAGGTCCCATAGACTGCCCAGGCCTCCTAACTGGCACCCACGTTCAGAGGGCTTGGTTAGGTCCAATGCTGGTTCCTCAGCTTTACGACTGGGGTCTGTGTGCTCTCATTAGGTCAGGTCCAGGTTTTGTTTTTTATGTGTGGTTGGTTTTGTTTGTTTGGTTGGTTGATGGGGGAAGTGCTTCTGTGTATGTGTTTGTCTTACTGGATGATAAATAAAGTACTGTTTGGCCAATGAGGCAGCAAGTTAGGCAGGACTAGGAGTCAAAGAGGATTCTGGGAAATGTAGTAAAGGAGTGGTGATCCCCAGGAAGTGACATAGCAGGGAGACTCATATAAGCAAGGACGAGAAGGAAGTGGCTCCCTTCTTTCTTCCTCCAGAGTCACCCTGTGATCCTGGGATGAGGACGCCAGTGAAAGACATCCTAAATAAGGTAAGTCTTCTAAAATATATAGATTTATGATAATTAAGACTGAGCTAACAGATGATAAATCCTTGTCATTGGCCAAGCAGCATTTGTACCTAATATAAGTCTCTGTGTATTATTTGGGGCCCTAACTTGGTGGGCAGAACTCGGGTGGCTGGCGGAAAGCACTCTTATGGCAGTAGGGCCTGGGTGGCTTTTGGTGGAAAGATTTATCGTAACAGTTGGTTGTTTCTTAGACAGGGTTTCTCTGTGTAACCCTGAATGCCCCAGAATTCCTGTAGTCCAGGAGGGCCTAAACTCATATATCCCCCTGCCTCTGCCTTCCAAGTGCTGAGTTTAAAGGCGTGTGCTGACACATCAGGCAAAAACAAGGCCTTTTTAAGCATAAACACTATGGGGCAGTGTGGGTTAAACACTTGGAAAAACAGCGGTCTGTGTATCCACGTGGCCCAAGCATTATAGAATGAATCCACATGGCAGGTTTTCCATCTGACACAGATCATGTCTCAAGTCAGGGCTCAGGGTAGACTCTAGCACCACCCACTTTGTCATTGGATAAGTTTCTCTGTGTCTCTTCTCTTGCTTAAAAAATAATATTAATACCCAATTCAAGATCATTGTGTGGATGCTAATATCTATAAACATTTAGGATCATGGTCATTAACATCTGGCATGACAGGAGTAAAAGTCATCTATTGATAGTGTTGAAGACCTTGTCGCTCCCGCTGATCCCCCACCAGATTCTCTGAGTAATGCCTGCCGAGAAATCAACTTCCCTTTAGTCCCAGCACTCAGGCAGCAGAGGCAGGCGGATCTCTATGAGTTTGAGACCAGCCTGGTCTACAAGAGCTAGTTCCAGGACAGCCTCCAAAGCCACAGAGAAACCCTGTCTCGAAAAACTCAAAAAAACAACAACAACAAAAAAAAAACAACAAAAAAAAACAAACCCCAAAAAACAAAAACAAAAACAAAAACAACAACAAAACCCACAAACAAACAAAAAAAGAAACCAGGGGGCTGGAGAGATGACTCAGCGGTTAAGAGCACTGACTGTTCTTCCTAAGGTCATGAGCTCAATTCCCAGCAACCACATGGTGGCTCACAACCACCTTGAATGAGATCTGGTGTCCTCTGCTGGCATGAAGGCAGAAGACTGTATATATATTAAATAAATAAATAAATACTTTAAAAAATCATTTTATAAAAAAAGAAAGAAATCAGCTTCCCATATGAATTTGTGTATAGGCAAAGAAGGTTTTATTTCCCATCGAGCAGTGCAAAGTAGGTATTTTGATTTGCAGGTTGAAAAAAGTAAGTCTTCCGGTGATTGGGTTTAGTGACTACTATGGCAGAAGTAGCAAGGCAGTCCATGGGAGAGAAAGCAGATCCTGCTGTGAGTTTTGTAGGTGTTATCTTCCAAGTTTCACAAATGAAGAAGCCACAGCACAAGGAAAACAATCCCTTTGGGATGGTGAAAAGGTTCAGTGGGTAAAGGCACTTGCCCCTGATTCAGACAACTCTAGTTTGATCTCCAAAATTCACATGGTAGAAGGAGGGGGGCAACTCTCAGGTGCTCGCGTGTGCGAGCACACACACACACACACACACACACACACACACACACACACACACACACTAATATGTACATAACTATAATTTTAAAATATTTCTAAAGAAATGGCTATTCTTGCAGCAGAATTGGATTATCATGAGCCCAGGGGAAATGACAAGTGTTCACATTCCCTCAATGGAGCCCCGCAGTCTACCTACACATAGACGGGGTTCCTCTGGTCACTGCCTACGACCCTGACATCAGAACTATCTATTGATTTAGAATGAGGTCATTTTGGATGAAGAAGACTGTGGAAAACCAGCTTGGGGATGTGTTGAGGTGGCACAGTCAAGCTGTGAACTCAGAAGTGTATAGGTGTGCTCACACTCTCCCTAGCTCTGTTCCATCTTCTCACCTGCACTGTTCATCCATGCCCACGAGGCTACCAGGCAGCCAGCCCTCAGGGCTGCCACAGGTCTGTTCTAGGGCATAGGGAGCGGCTTCACAAGGTACCCACGGGAGAAAGATACTGACAAGGCAACTGAAGGGAGAAACTGATGGTTATCAGACAGGTGACGCCCTGGGAAGGTAAAACTAGACTCTGAAACCAGGAGCCGTTTTAGAATTAGCACACCTAGGGAAAAAAGGTTGTGTATTGATCCACAGTCTGGGTCTTAGCAGGGCCTGGTAGAGCAAGACTTTAATCTCAGCACTCGGGAGGCAGAAGCAGGTGGATCTCTGTGAGTTCAAGGCTACCCTGGGATACAAAGCAAGTTCTAGAACAGCCAGGGAATATAGAAAAACCCTGTCTCAAAAGCCAAAAAAAAAAAAAAAAAAAAAAAAAAAGATTTGTGCCTTAGGGGAGTCCTGGGGGCCACTCAAGAAGGACGGATTCTGTACAAGTTAAAAGTTGAAAACTAGCCAGGCAGTGGTGGTGCACACCTTTTATCTCAGCACTCGGGAGGCAGAGGCAGGTGGATAACTGTGAGTTGGAGGCCAGCCTGGTCTACAGAGTGAGTGCCAGGACAGGCTCCAAAGCAATAGAGAGAAACCCTGTCTCAGAAAAACAAAAAACAAACTAACAAACAAAAACAAGAAAAAAGAAAAACCAATAATAATAATAAATTAATAAATAAATAAAAGAATAAATGTAGCTTCTAAGGGCATGGTGATACATGCCTTTAATTCCAGTACTCGGGAGGCAGAGGCAGGAGGATCTCTTCGAACTTGAGGCCAGCCTAGTCTACATATTGAGTTCACAGTCAGCCAGGGCTACATATCAAGATCCTGTCTAAATAGGAAAAGAAATACAGCTTTAAATGTATAACAATGGGAACCAAACAACATTTGTTCTTTGCCAACTTAAAAATTAGGACATACAGGGCTGGGGATGAGCTCAGTGGTCGGACACTTTCTTATAAGTGTGTTCTTAGGGTCCATTTCCAGCACCTCGGAGTGTGGGGGCACTGGGGAGACAGCTCAGTGGGGAGGAATACTTGCGGTGCAAGCATGAGGACTTGAGTTTGAATCCCCAGTACTCACACATAAAGGTGAGCATGCTCTTAGTTGCCCACTAGAACTAGGTGGCAGGACCCAATCGAGGAAGACATATCAGACATTGGTGATAGGACTGAGAAAGCAAGCTGAACCCGACCTAAATCCACCCCTTGTTAGCTAGTTCTCATAGCGCCAGAATGTGCTATGCAGGCCCTGGGAGAGAAGAGCCACCAATGGTTTTACCAGGTGGTGAGCCCTGCATGCTGCAACCTGTCAGGCACCATGAGACAATAGTGGCCAGGAGACTATGGAGGTGACCAACCACTTAGGGTTGGGCCCGAATTCCTCAGGAGGGAATTCATACCTAGTACTTTCTGCAAATCCGCTCCAAAGACCTTGACTCAGGAGGGCATCGACTCTAAGAGGGCCCTGCTACTTGATTCTTGCTAAATGGACATGCTGCCAAGGTGTCTTCTAAATATTTACACTTATACATAGATTAGTCGGCCCACAACGTGGCTAGAAGTTTCCCTCTACAGCAATCAGCAGTTAATACAGAATCTCCTGACCAGTCCCAGTCTTAAGAAAAGTGACAATTGCATGTTCAGCCCATGGGACATCTATATCATGTGCGTGTATGTGTGTGTGTGTGTGTGTGTGTGTGTGAGAGAGAGAGAGAGAGAGAGAGAGAGAGAGAGAGAGAGAGGGAGAACCTTAACCCTTGTGAGCCAAGACTTTCTAATGAACCAGGCTGGCCTCAACACTCGACCTACTTCCCCTGACTTTGCCAGTCACTCCAAGAGTTAGCTGTGAGTTCATTTCTCTGTGTGCTTAGGTAGTTTCCCTTCTCATAAGTAATTTGGCGATCATAGTAATGAAATTCCCCAAAGCTGTTGGAGAGAGCTGAAAGCTGCTGTACCAGGCATGGCGGTGCACGCCTTTAATCCCAGCACTTAGGAGGTGGGGTGGACCCAGGGGAGGGACTCTGATCTACATAGCGAGTTCCAGGCTAGCTAGGGCTACAGTGAGACCCTGTCTAAAGACAAAAACAAACAAAAAACTTCACCAAATAAATGAGACATTGCATATAAAATCCTTTGCGCTTTCAAAACCAGAGCAAATTCCTGGTGGTCATGTGACCACTTTGGGTGCCTCCCTGAGCCCCCCTGAGATTCCGTTTCCTACAGTTCTTCATTTCTTTTTCCCAGCAGCCTAGTAGGGTTACAGAGGCACACCCAGCAGCAGCCACCTCGTTCTGCAGCTCAGCTACTCTGGAAATTACCTTGTGTATGTGTAAATCTGGGTCCCCAAGCCTAGCAGACTTCGTCTTTAAGAAAACAGTGCCTCCCTTGTGTTGACACTTCCCATTTTCTCAGCAAACTGTGTTCACTGAGGATCCAAAGCCACACAAACTGCCCTAAAGAACCAACAAAGGGCAGCTTGAATTTTCATGATTTTTCTTTGCCCTCCATCAGTGATGAACTCAGAAGTGACCCCACATGGGAGTACAAGGTGACCTTCCTGGAAGACGTGTGTGCAGACAGGGGGAGCTATCTCTAGTGGCATGGACTGCCACAAATAGCCAGCGTAGCCTTTTAGATGGAAAGGGTTTGGTGTGTGTGTGTGTGTGTGTGTGTGTGTGTGTGTGTGTGTGTGGTGTGTGTGTGTGTGGTGTGTGTGTGTGTGTGTGGTGTGTGTGTGTGTGTGTGTGTGTGTTGGGGGATGGGCGTCTACACTGGACGCCCTGTGTGTGCTCTGTGCTCTGACCTTGAATTACACTTCTAACCTAAGAGGGATTCATTTACATGGGATTATATCAGCGGTAAGGGCCTGTTAAAGGAAAACTCCTGGTCCACAGAACAGTTTCCAGCCCTGGTGAAGACCTAACATTCCAGTTTGTGCGGTCAATCCCTAGGCCAAGGCCCTACCCCTCAGGAAGGAGGCTGGCTCACCTTAA